TATAAAAAGTTATTGAAAAAATATTTATAAAGCTATTTTATATAAGAATATCTATAATTATAATAAAACTATTTTCGAGAATATTAAGCTTTATAATACTAAACTCGAGAATAATATTAAATACTATATAGCTATAATTAATCGGTTTATAATAACTCTAGTTATTTCTATTTTATTTACTTCTATTATCTTTATAATTCCGGCTACTTTAAACTCTTCTCTAAAGAATTCCGAACTATCTTTTACTTATTTCTATTTAGAATTTCTAGTATCTTATATTTTCTTTAGAAATACTAGAGTTACTAAGTTTCTAGATCTAATTCTCTTTACTAGAAATTATACTATCTTTAATAACTAGCTAGTCTAGATTAAAAATAAGCTATAAAGAAATACTAATTTATATCTCTTTAAGAATTTCAAAATTATTTATATTTCTAGTAAACTTACTAGTAATACTTTTACCCTAACTAATTCTTATATAAATAACAATAATCCGAATTAGTACTATTAGCTTTTAGAGTTATATTTTTATTTAAAGAAGCTATACTCTAGTTAAGTATTTTAGAAATTCTATATTTTCTTCTTATAATTATTTATAGAAAATAGTATTAGTCTTTAAGATATTAAATATAAACTAAATAAAAAGCTTTTACTAAAGCTCTAGAAATTAATATATTTATATTATAATAATTCTTCTATTAATATTATTTACTTTACTTAATATTATATTACTAATAATTAGTAAATTAAAGCTATATATAAGAAAACTAAAAAGTATAAAAAGATAAAAGCTATTTTAGTTAAGTTTATTTCTAGTACTATATCCTCTTATAGGAAACCTGGTAACAACTCCAACTGGCCGTAAGAGGTTCATAGTTACAAGCCTTTGGTATGTTCGCTCATATAGTACTAGAAATGCTTTCTATAAGGTCTACGGGGGCACTAAAACACCGCGGGATCAGGGACCCGGGACTGCTTATAGAGGATGTCTTTTACCCCTCGTGGTTTTTGGCCTCTTTTACAAGCAGGACTCTATATATAAATATCCTATAAGCTTAGCACGTCCCCATACCCCATGGGAGGTTTATAGGAAAGCTAGTTTCTTCTAGTTTTCCGCTGGACGCAAATAATAATAATCATCATCATCATCATTATCCATGTATATGGACAAGCACTGCAATTTTAGCGTGGACGGAGGGAACGAGTGTGTGCCGATTCCTGTTCAAGCACCAAGCATAATGCATTGGCAATTTGTGCCGGAAGGAGCACGCATACTCGGAAGCACTGCAATTTTAGCGTCCAAGTAAGGAACGAATATGAGGCTGACAAACCGGTTCCCCTCGTTGATGCTAAAATTGCAGTGCTTTGTTAACGCTAAAATTGGAGTGCAGTGAATGGTTCGGTTATTTAGCCTCGCGCCCGATGAATTCGTTCTCTCCTTCGACGCTAAAATTGCAGTACAGAATACACCTATAATTAAACATTGTTTTTATATTTTTTTTAGAAGGAGAGATACATGCCCGGGTAATTACAACTAATAAAAGCTCCGCAGTCTACCCTAAACCAAGGCTATAGAGGTGTTCCCCAGCCACCGTATATAAGAGTGCCTGTAGTCCATACTTTGTAATATCGCTCTGCCCTTTATATAGTTATCGGAGGATATAAGGTATCTCAATTAATGCAAGTTTAGGTATGCCGACCCTATAGCTAGCAATATACCAGCCTCTACAGTATCTAGTATATATAGAGAAAGTAGAAGCGTAGTATATACCTCGTGCTCCCTCTTTTTAGCCCGTGGAACTTTATATAGTGTCCCAAAACTACCTATCCGTCCGTTGTGATGCCGTAGCAAAAGCCAAAACTGGGAAGAGTGACAAGAAGACGACTTCATGCAGTACTGCAATTTTAGCGTCCAAGGACTCAAGGAGAGAACGAATTTATCGGGCATAGGCTGAAGAACAGAGAGCGCTGGTTACCGACTGCACTGCAATCTTAGCGTAAAGGAGAGGACGAGGGTACCGATTCAGCAGCACGCGTTTGGCGTGCCCAACTTTGCACTGAAATTCTAGCGCAGTGGAGAGAATGTCTGTGGGGTAATTCCCACGCCAGGGATAATGAGTCGGGCACACCGCAAATCACTGCAATTTTAGCGTCAACTAGGGGAACGACGACTCGCCAAGCCCGCGAGCACTGCAATTTTAGCGTCCAAGTGAGGAACGAATATGAGGCTGACGAACCGGTTCCCCTCGTTGACGCTAAAATTGCAGTGCTTTGCCAACAAACCCGGCGTGGATATCGTCTCTCGTTAGCGCTGAAATTGCAGTGCGGTGAATGGTTCGGGTCTTCAGCCTCGCGCCCGATGAATCAAATTCGTGCGCTCCCTGGACGCTAAAATTGCAGTGCTCCATGGGGTCTGAAACGACCCCCGAAGGCACGACCACATGAACCTCCTTCCAGCCAGCGGAGTATTGCCATCACACAGGCCACGTGCGTCCACCGGGGGCGACCGATGCACTGCAATTTTAGCATCAACGAGGAGGAACGACGGCTCGCACACCGACAGTCATGTGTTGGCAAGAGGCTCTGGGAGCCGCACTGCAGGCTCCACCCATGCAAGATCTGGGATAAGTCGTCAAGCCAGCCTGCCCCGTACTGCAATTTTAGCGTGCACGAGGCGACTCAACACCAGCCTCCTGTTTTTAGAGAAAAATAAGGTCACGTGCGAAGCCGTGCGAAGCGGGTGAAGAGGTTCGAACGGGTAGGGGAGTGACTTGACGCAGATAGCAAAAGAAGGTAGCTTCGAGGGAATTCTTTGAAATCCTGCAAAGATGCAACTGACCAGCCACTAGACTCATATGCAACTCAGCACTCGCTGACCTACTGTAAAACATATGCAACCTCCCACAGCATCTCTGAACAGCAAGAATATTTTCATGTCTTTTATTCATCTCTGCGCCTCACTATTCACACCCCACCACTATCGAAATCCAAAACTACATACATACATCTCTGACCTCACCTCACCTCTCGCAACATCGACATCGATGGAACGAAAAGCAAAATGCAAAACGTAGACTCCATCCTTCCCTCGATATCTCAAGCCGACCTGTGAAGCGGCGAGTATATAACAGAAGGGAACCGGCACCAGGCTATCCACACTCGATCATCACAACCACACACATCACTTTATCCTCCCCACCATAGATCTCCTTCTCTCATTCATCCAAAACCACAGCAAGCACCAAGCAGGAGATCTCCGCAACCACCACCAAAATAACATCATATCCAATCAGAGATCGAATCCACCACCGTCAATCGAGAAAGCAAAAGAAGATCGGCACAAGGCCAATCAAAGCGCACAACGAAGCGAAAGAGCAAAAGTGTTGTGAAAAAAGATGTGCGCGGAATACAGGGTATGGGCGAATCGAACGTGACAAAATGAGTATGCCAAACAAGCGAAGAATGGAACGGGGATGGGGAATATCTCTTCATCCGGGAGTTGTATGTTTGATTTTCGCTCAGAGGTATCGTATCGAAGGTCAGGGAAGGTCAAAGGGGAAAGTCATCAAGCCGTAAACGTCTATCGCTCTGTCCTAAGGATAGGAGGGAAAGAGAAGATAGACCCGTAATGAAGGAGAGCGATGTTACGCATCGTCGGTTGCGGGGGTATAAAACGTGGGGCAGGATGTCGCATCGTAGAGTTTGTATAAACAGAGGGTAGATGCGTCGCATCAGAGAAATTGGGTTTGGATTGGAATGCCGGGGTTGCTGAGGCGCTTGGAGGACATCCGTCGCTCTAGGAATTGAAGATCGCAGCCCGAGAAGGAAGAATGTCAACACCACCCATAAACACCACCCGTCATCGTCAGTCGGTCATGGACAGTAGTTCGTTATTCTTACAGCAGCGCTGCAGCGATCATGACCAGGACGCTTGCGCCGCCGGCATACATGCCGTTCAGACTCGATGCCGCACCCATGTAGTTCGCAGGTATCGACTTCGTCGGTGCACTTGCGGAGGCGCTCAGGTATGTTGCTCCTGTTGGGGTCGTGGAGGTCGTGGAGTTGGTTGCGTAGGTCGAGGTCACGGCGTACACTTGCGAGACGGTGATGGTTTTCGTGAGCGTCGCGGTCGAGGTTATCGTTGTCGTGGAGGTCGTGTCTGCGATGGCCAGCAGAGGGAGGAGGAGGGCCGTAGCTAGTGACGAGAAGCGCATTTTGAGGTGTGTGAAGAGTGTACGGAGAAACGAAGGATAAACGTATGTCCACGATAGTGATATCAACAGCAGTGGATGCGATAGATAGATGTGATCATCGAATGCTTGCGCCGAGCGATAGAATGTTTCAATATATTCCTTCCGCGATCAAAGAGATGCTTTGGGTTGTGTTCGTGCGTCTTGTTTCGAACTGTCGTGTGCTTGGGCTGGCGTGCGCGACGACGGAGCTGAATCGAATCGAATCGACGATGAATTGTGCCTGTCTTAAAGAGCGTAGTGAGTATAGCGTGCTTGCGTTATACTCGGATAGCGATGGTATCGATCTTTCAAAGACGAGAATAGACTTTGCCAACGAAGTCTGGGGTGCGAAAGAGCGAATGTTTGGAAGGAAGGATTGAGGAAGGACTGGGAGGGAAAGGGAGGGGAGCAGTGGGGAGTTCAAGCGAGCGAGTTGTTGGGCGGCGCTGAGGGTCGAGATGGCGTGGGACGGGAGAGATTATTTCGAGGTGGTCTGGGCACACGCACACGCACACGCACAGCGGCAATTTGCAAGAGCCAAGAAGGCAGGACCGGACAGGACCAGACGAGAATATGTAATGTACAAAGAACGGGTGGCCGGCCATTCAACCTGAAGCCGGCAACACCACAAAACCAACAAGGAAATTGTAAACTCGCCGAGAAACAGTTCACCAGAAGAAGGAGGTGCTGAGGTGCTGAGGCTGATCTCGTCCGGTGTTGAGTGCGGTTCGTCGCATCACATCAAGGCTATCCTCGTGGCATCCACTGGCGCAAGTCTCTTCCAGTCTTGGTCCAGGCATGCAATCTGGGGGTCCTCCCAACTCTCCAAGGGGAGTGCTGGCACTGCTGGCATCCTCCAGGCTGTGGCGGCAGCACTCCTCCTCCGACCAACAGCCCGAAATTGGCCCAGATTGCACTCCATCCCCAATTCAATTCCTCCCCCTCCACAGGCGATTCCGCCGTGTCGCCTTAATTTTAATTCTGGCAGGGAGTGCGCAGCAAGGCACATGGATGTGATGAAACCGACGTCGTCTCACTGGTTGGCCACCCACAGGGCTGGTCTAGCGGCCGCGGTTCCTGGCCTAGCGCAAATCATCTAGCAAAAACGCTTTACCCTGTTCGGCTGTTCCTGAGATCCGCCATCTTGGCCACGAAGGATCCCGCGAACCAGAAGCGCTGGCGAGAAAATCTCAGATGAAAGCTCTGCTAGGCGCGGGCAGAAATCGACAAGTGAGCATCGCGCGGGGATGGGCGATAACGATGTCTTGTGCAACTGCAACTTCCACTTGACTTTTCTTTGCGCTTTTGTTCATGATCTTGATCCGTTTCTCGATGTGTTTGTTGGTGACGAGGTGACGATGTGATGTGCAGGTTGAGCGATGGCGGGGTGGCTGAAGTTTCAAACTCGTGGTGAGAGCGCCACGTGTGCAAGCATCCAGTTCATCACCGACCGCCCCACGCTCTGCTCCGACGAAGATCACAAATATGGTGGTGGAAGGTCTCTCTCACTTATCGCGGTGGATCGTGTGGTCGCGCTTGGGCAAACGACAGCGAGATTGCGCAGCTCCCCTGACTCAGGTGACTTTCCCCTCCTTTTCATCTGATCCCGAAGCGATCAGGATCAGATCAAATCTCGCAACCGCATGTTTCCAGATCCAGCCTATGATCCCTCTGTGCTCGGCAAGCGATAATAATCAGGCGAGATCCTCCGCCCCTGCTGCTTCCTCAGCTGCACGGGTATTTGTCAAAGGCATCACTTTTTCTATTCTCAGCTTCCGCACATTCCTATCCGTCTGTGGGGCCGCCTTCGCCACCAACCCTCCAAAAATATCGCAAACTCAGTAAGCCTGTTCTGTAGCACCTCGTGTGACTGCGTTCCTCTTAATAACGTTCCGTTGAAACCTTCCTAATCTCGTTCCTCGCCGTCGCTGCGTCAAGTCATGTTTATTTCTAGGACATGGAGACATGACGGAACGTGCCCATGCCCAAGCAACACAAGTCATTTCTCCATTCTTGGTGCGCCGTCAAACAGCTCGTTCTCCACAGACAGACAAACATCACGGCTGCAGCTCTTCGGCCGGCCCAGTGGTAAGTGCAAAAGCGACCGCAACCGCGCTCCTAAAACGAGGCTTGCGTCAGAAAGCGGTTGGGCCAAGCGGTCGTCGGGAAGGGTTGCCCGTTCCGCAGAAAGGCGAACGCATCTCGGAGATGTGGTGAGGAATTTTGAAGGACGCTGTTTGGTGTTTGATTTTCGTGGAGGTGTTTGATCGTTTGATCCACCAGATCTGGAGGAGGGAGGGGCCGGTTAGTGAAAGGCCGCTGGTCATGTGACGTCAGACCTCTTTCGCGTCGGTTTTGGGATGTTATGGTAGGCTTTTGAAAATTGAGCTTTTTTCATCTATATATTGCTGTCGTTAGAGATTCAACTGATTTGAAGCTTTTTGGTTGGAGGCAAACGTTTTGTCATATCACGTGCTGAAGCTTTGTCAGCAAAATGTTGCCTGTCTAACGTCGATCGAGGCGATCCCGTGCAGCGTTGCTTAACTTCCTTCATAGTTTCTTCACAACTGCTTCACATCTTCGAGATCCTCATCGACTCCGATCAAAACTATGGTTTTCAACAAACTCCCAGATGAGTTCGAAATCTTTGTGTTCCACCCGCTGCTTGTTGACCAGTGAGAGTACGAGCAGAACGCCAACCTCGCGCGAGTAGTTCGTTGCTGTCGCCACTTCTATGACCTTGCAGTTCCAATTCTACATTCGTCTTTCAATTGCGAAGGAAAAGCGAGGTCCTTAGCCTTCCTCCGTACGGTGTTGAAACGACCAGATCTCGCGATTTACCATAAAGCGCTTGAAAGGTTCATTTGAGTCCAGTGGCTAATCAATTGCATCTTTGCAGAATTTCCAAGAACCTCTCCTCGAAGCTACCTGCTTTCTTGGCTATCTGCGTCAACTCATGTCGCTCCTCTACTGCCCGGTTCAACTCTTTACCCGCTTTGCACGTGACCTTACTTTTCTCTGAAAACTAAGGTGGAGGCCGGTGTTAACTCGCCTTATGCACGCTAAAATTGCAGTGCGCAGGCGACTGGGATACCGTATGCGGTGGAGCTTGCAGCGCGGCTTCCAGAGCCTCGTGCCAACACATGATTCTCGGTGTGCGAGCCGTCGTCGTTCCTCCTCGTTGACGCTAAAATTGCAGTGCTCCCTCAATGGGGTAACTTGGTGTCAGCGATGTGGGTGTCCGTCCCTCCTCGTTAACGCTAAAATTGCAGTGCACGAGACCGGCGCACAACAAGATGCTCGGCTCTTCAGCCTATGCCCGATGAATTCGTCCTCTCCTTGGACGCTAAAATTGCAGTGAAACCAATGAGCAATGAGAGGTTTAGCGAATGCCGCCTCATTATCCCTGGCATAGGAATTACCCCACAGACATTCTCTCCTCCTTTGCGCTAGAATTTCAGTGCAAAGTTGGGCTCAGCTCTCCAAGAGCCACACGCCAAACACGTACTGCTGAATCGGTACCCTGGTCCTCTCCTTTACGCTAAGATTGCAGTGCACGCGGTATCGGCGCTCCTCGGCGCTAAAACTGTGGTGCAGTACCTCGGTTCTTCAGCCTATGCCCGATGAATTCGTTCTCTCCTTGAGTCCTTGGACGCTAAAATTGCAGTGAGGCAAGTGATCAACCTGGAGGGATCGCCCGAGAGGCTTGGCGCATGCCCGACTCATTATCCCTGGCGTAGGAATTAACCTTACCCCACAGACATTATCTCACATCCGGATTATAACTCGAATCCACAAGGCGACCTCCTATACCGACGACCAGAGTTTTCGTTGGGTGCCAAATTATAAGGGCTTAAGGCCGCACTGAATAAGGGATGTGACGACAAGAGTTTAAGAGATAATGGTACGATGCGTTCTCTTTCGATCGATGTCAAACAGCTGGCTCCCACTGGATCGATATTCCTAGAAGATGGGATTCGATCACCGCCCTGCTGACCCTCCTTCTCCTGAACCTCTCGACGTCCAAGCTAGCAACCTATGTTGATAATTGGATGGACGACGCTGAGTTCGTACCTTATGTCTTTGAAGCTACAAACTCTGGACGGACCCCCGGCGTACTTCCTGAGCAGTCTCCGCATGATCGAAAGGCAGTGAGGGAATTTGAGGACTCCCCATCTCCAGACTCAATCCTGCCCTTCCTGCAGCTCAAGTCCATCCGACAAGTTGCACTGCCTAATTCAATCACCAACGGAGGGTGCGACGAGCACATGAACGACGAGGATATCAAAGACCCAATATTGCGCGTCACTCACCTCTCATTCCTCCCAGAATCTGACATCCAGATTCCTCCGGTCTTTCCATGGCCTCATACATTTCTCATACGTCCGCTGGAACGAGGAGGATTCATACCGCCAGAGGTACGACGCGGACTTCTGCACTCTAAGGACTCCCTGCTAGAATTGACTCTGGTTGATGGCGGTGGAGAATATGAACAGGCGGATGAGAACGAGGAAGGCACCTCCACTCACGCCTGTGAACAAACCGGTCCTTCCACTGGGATCTCTACTCGAGTTTCGACAAGGCAGTTGCGCTCGTGGGACGTGATAATACCCTGATGCGAAACATACTAGTTTCGAGCCTCTCACGCATGAACAGGCCTTGAGAGTTGTGGATAGCCTGCCATAGTCGTTGAAAGAATTGGCACTTAGGACATATTTTCCTCCCATAGATTAGGCCATTGAAGTACTTCTGGAGCGGAAACGACAAGGTGGACTAAAGAGCCTGAAGGAAATCGATCTGTTATTCCAGAAGGACTTTACAGAGCAGAAGATTCGAGACGACCCAGAAGGATGGAAGTATGAATTGCAGGTGATTAAAATAGGGATTCAGATTACGAGGTCTCGGGTGGGATTTTTTTCATTAGCGAAAGTTAGAAATGAATTGCAAAAGCCCTTTTGAGCATAGAGCTGGATTCGTTGGAGTATCTACTGTACCACCGCCACATTCATATTAAATATCGAGATGTTGGTTGTTGGTTGTTGATTGGGAAGGATTTTAGGCATTGATATTGGGGCAGTGCCTACATGGTACCCCTGACAAGGCTCCAACAGACAGATGCGGCGCAGCTTCCGCTTCAAAAGGACATCACTCCCAACACCAACATCCCCCAATGTAAAATATATATTAACAGTATCAACAACATCTCCCATCCTTTCCAAGCGACCATAAGGAATCACCACTTCATCACGTGGAAAGAGCTTCGTCTCTCAGACCCGCCATGTTGCAATACTTCCGTGAAGCCCCACCAATCTCCAGGTACCCCCCTTTCCCCTTCCATCCCTCCCTTCTCGTCTTCCCTAACAACAACCCCCCAGGACTCTAGCAGCAATAACGTTCGCCCTCTCCCTCCTCGTCTACACCTACGTCCTCTCCTACTCCAACTTCGCTTTCCGTCCCCAAGCCTTCCTGCAACTGCCGCCCGAACTCTGGCGGCTCTTCACCCCTTTCTTCCTCACTGAGCGAGGGATTGGGGTTCTATGGGATACGTACTTCTGTGAGCAACTAAACCAAGAACCTTAAAAGTATTGACGGCGGCTAATGACAGGCAAAGTGTATACCTATGGAGCGAAGCTGGAGGTTGCTTCGCCTAGATTCTCTCAGCGCGCGGATTTCTTTGCTTATATTTGTTTCGTTTGTCTTGTTATTTTGGTGAGTTGTGTACATTTGGCCCTTGCCATTCCATTCCTCTTCTGTTGGCATTGAAGTTCATTTATATGGCATTATCCTCGAGTTGAGGAACCGTCTCAAATCTCTTTCAAAGTCTCCAATTTTCCACTCCCAAACGGGACGCAAGTCAACCAAGTCCACTCATTTGGTTGATCACTTCCCCATCTTCCCCCTCCATTGAAAACTATTCTCCTCCCAGTTGGAAACTCTCTAACCAGGACGCAGGGCCTAAACATCGTCATCGGCGGCACGGCCTTCGCGACCCCCCTCGCACTAGCATTCATCACAACCTCCACCATCGACTCCTGGGGCCTCCCCGTCTCCCTCCTCGGCCTCGCCACCTTCCCATCGCAATACCTACCCTACGCATTCCTCCCCACCACCCTCCTAATCAGCGGGCCGATCGGCGCCCTCATCCACGGCACCGGCCTCGTCGGAGCCCACCTGTACGACCTGCTGACCGGGCTGTACCCGCAGTATGGCGGGCCGAGAAGGAGTTTGATCGCGACGCCCGGATGGATGAGGCGGCTGTGGGGCACGAGGGCGGAGCTCGTGAGACCGTATGGCACGGTGCTGAATGCGAATGCGGCTGTTGGGGCGGCTTCGGATGGCGTTGGAGTGTCTGCGTGGGGTGTTGGGTGGGGGAAGTGGGGGGAGGGACAGAGGCTGGGAGGCGATGCTGAGGTGGGAGGAGGGGGTGCAGGACTGCAGCGGGGACGGTCAACGGCTGGGCTGGCTGTGGCTGGATTTGTGTTGATTAGTTGTGTGCTGGGAATGGTGTTCATGTGGTATAGGGATCCGGAGGGTTGGTGGACTACGATTAAGGGAGAGTTGTTTGGTGGGGATATGTCGGGTGGGATGGCGACCAGTGGGGTCTAGGGATCGATGGCTGCGATTGAGGCGAGAGGAAGCCGATTACTGTAACTTTGTCATCATTTGAGTTTTCCTCTGTGAGATTGAGTATCTGAAATGAAAAGAATGGCTCGTCTCGACTGCAATCATATAATTCTTGCAATTGCTCATCCCTCGTTCTTTCCCTAACACGAAAGTAATTTGTTGGTGTGATATACTATCCCCCCTCCCCCCTTGAATGCTTACAGTGGGTCCACTAGTAACGCCACCCTGAAACCTCGTTTATAACCCCCAACTAGGAAATATCAGGTGCTTTCCAGAATCGCTATTGGCTATACACCCTTGAAATGGCCAGCGCTTGGGTGGTGTTATTTTTGGGCCACTGTAAGTATTCAAGGGGGGGTAGTATGCAGTACTGAGCTACGTATAGATTGTAAAGTAGAGAAGAAAGTGAGAACGGCTTCGATTGAACTGGAAAGCGGTAAAGACTTAATTGCGCCCATTTGGTGGAATGATGTGTGTATGGAGATGATGGCGAATATTGGACCCACTTGAAATGGTTCATGGGGTGGATAGTATTGAACTGATAGAGGTGATGTCTTGCAGATGAGGAATTCGAACAACCAGGCTATAGTAGAACGTTCTCTCTTACATTAATAGAGCCAAGGAGATGGCTTATTAAACAAGGCATCAATCATCACTGAAATCATACAGAAACAATTCTAGAGCAGCACAAAGCTAAGAAGCATTTTAATAAAACCAGGCATAATCACGTGTTACCCGCTTATTAGATGCCTTTAACTGTGGTCAATTGGAAAGCTAGCTAGAGCGGAGGGTGAAGCTAAATATAAGAGAGTAAATAGAATCACATGAACAATGAGCAGTGGGCCTGCTAAGCCGAGGGTGGCCATAAGGGGCTGAGGCACGTGACGCCACAGTCGTACCACCTGACCGCGCTCGGCCCGTCCCGTGACTACCCTATATCGACGTCAAACCCGTCTTCTTCCACTTCATAACTTGACTCTTCAACTCACAACGACACCAGCCAAATCTTCACCTCCGCCCAACCTGGCCCCCGAAGATCGGCAGCCAACACTACACCACCATCAACATGTCCACCCGCCTCCCCCTCCACGAATTCAAGATCACCCACAGCGACTGGCCCACCACTGCCCCCTCGGCGGAAACGCCCATCGTGAACCCCCTCTCGCTCCTCCTCTGCCGCTACCCCAATGGCGCCTACCTCTCAAACCCAAACTTCATGCTCCTCTACTCGCGCGAGAATGCCTACGACAGGTACGTCGACCGCTTGTACGGAAGCCTGACGGCCGGCTCCTCGGCGCCCCTCGACCGGCCCAGGAAGAAAGGCGCGCAGACCTTCTGGATGAAGACGCATTCTGAGAATGAAGGCTTGCTGGAGTTGTTGGAGGCAGCAGGGATCTTGAAGAGGACCGGGCAGACGTTCAAGCAAGGGTTTGCGACGTTGGTGGCTGTGGAGACGCAATTGGTGGATGGACAGTGGGCAGAGGTGTGCCATAATCAGAAATGTGGGAAGAGAGAGCAGTTGGAGGCGGAGGGGGGCAGGATGAAGAGGTGTTCGAGGTGTAGGGATGTGTGGTATTGCAATGCAGAGTGTCAGAAGGCGGGTTGGCCAGAGCATAGAGGAGGGTGTAAGGTGTATAAAGAGGCTGCTGAGAAGAGGGCGGCGGTTGAGGAGGAGACTGTTTGAGGAGATGCACGTAGGGAGTGCGAAAAGTATGTTATTTGAGGTGTTTGATCTCATGGAAGCAATGTTCGACTTCGGAAACCGGATATCAATACTAACCAGTATAAGTAATCTTCCTCGTCTTGCATCCGCCATTGTGATCAAACAAAATCAGCACATTTCCCCCGTCTAATTTCATAATCCCACCCCAACCACTCTCTCCTTCCTCAGGTCCAACCAGCATCTTGACCCGCCAGTCCCCGGGACGACCATAAATTGCCTTCAAGCGCGATCCAGTTCCATCCTCATTTGTCTGAAAAGTGACCAAGAGTCCGAAACCACACGCTGCAACCTGCGGAGCAGCAGCAACACCTTTCTTCGCACGGTAAACCACTGAGCGGTCTCCCCACGTCTTACCATCATCTACCTCGCATCAACATGAATCCCCGCTTTCTTCCAAAGGAAAAGTTAGGGAGACTCACCACGCGAGGTGACAGATTTGATATGCATAATCCCATCCTCATCCGTCTCAAACACAGCAACCAACAGACGTGATACCTCGGCAACCCCTATCATCCCATCTCTCGCCAAAATCCCTTGTCCCGAGATCACCTTGGCCTCTCCCCAGGAGTGGCCGTCGTCGTGGGAGATGCGCTGGATTGAATCTTGATCGAGGGGACTGTTTTCGCGGCTGTAGTAGAGTTGGAGATCGCCGTCCTTGGCGAGACGGAGGAAAGGTTCCCAGAGGCCCCGCGCCGGGTTTGAGCTCTGCTCCCGCGGTCAGCATGAAATGGAGTGTGTTCGAAGGCACAGGAAGTACCTCTTCCGCCGTTGAAAGATACTTCCAGCATCTACCGCCATCGTCCGAGACACAGATCGTGATCCGGAAATACATCTGGTGACCCACGGCGTTCGTGGTATGGTTTCGAAAGGCGCAGAGGACATTCCCATTTTTCAGCTGGAGGAGGAATGGGTTGTCAACATCACCGATTCCTCGAGTCACCTGTTTTGATATGTCAATTAGTCGCGGATGTCTTGGGACATTGGGATTGAGGTTGCTGGTACCTCGCCAAGACGCTCCCAAACTAAGTTATCATCGAGAATTGAACAACCCAAGCTATTATTGAGAGCTGGGCAATACGTTGTAACGATGACGTTCTCTCCGTTCTCGAATGCGGTGTACACGCCAAGAAGCAATCCATTACGTAGTTTGGTCGCGCGAGGATAGGTGCCGTGACCCATGTGACTTGGTTGAGCGGTAAGTTCAAACATTTCGTTATTCTGCGTTGGCGTGGGGTAGTGTGGTGATGCTTTGGTTTTGTTGATGTTTTGTTTGCAAAGTCTGGGAGGGAAGAATGCGTCTTGAGGTGTTGGACAGCACGATATGCTTGGCAATGATTTGGCTATATGATAGACACTTTGAGAGAGGTATATTAATGAAATTGATTATACTAGTCAAAAACTTACGGACGATTGGTCAAGCGCCAGGAAGACTTCTACGCGAATAGAAAAGGTATTCCATTCCGGAAACCATCCAAAAGTCAGGCATAAAACACATCCTCGGTATCAACCCGTTCCCCAAAAAGCTGTCTTACACCCCACCTACCGGAGATGTTTCGTCCCTTTCGTCACCGCTTACCACATAGGAGGATAACGACATCCACCTCCGCCATAGCCCGGATATCGATATCTGTAGGGGGGGTATGTAGGCGAGCTCGGCCCGGAGGAGTGGACATAGTCGCTTGGCGACGAAGGAGAGATTGATCCAGATGGAAGGCGAATAGCCAAGGTTTCAAGATAAGGCTCGACATTCTGTGCCAAAAGCCGAGAGTCGACGGTGTGGATTGTTCGTCCTAAATATTGAGAGCAGTCAATACAGATGCTTCTTGGTTTGGTCTCTCGACATTGCGGACAGATGAGTGTCATTTCGGTTCCGGGTTTGCTGATAGCTAGTGGACTTGCGTGCTGTTGTGGTTAAGTTTGACTTGAGTTAAGTTGAGAAAGTTAGTTGTTGATGAGATGGAGAAGATGGATCCAAGGGAAGAATTGGGGAGTTTTTATAAGCAATTGGAGAGTTCAGGAAGATTCGAAGAAGTCTTAAAGGGTGTGTGGGATTAACTGTTCTGTGAACATAGAGGTTGAGTAAGGAGGTTGCTGAAGAGGCATTCTGCCCCACACAATCAGAAGTTGCAAAGTGGTCCTCTAGGTGATTAAGGAATATTGTTGCTTCCCGGGGACTGTTTCAACGAAGCAGTTATTCAAAAGCTGCAAGAAACTCAACTCCATAGCTTGAAACATAATCTCAAGGGCTTGAATAACGGGTGTAGCAATGGGACAGCTTACGAATAAAAGCTGGTAGTGTCGTCATTGACGGTTAAGATTCCACACCCCTTGAAAATCCCAGGTGCATCTCCTGTTTCGAGAATAAGTCCGTCGTATTTACTTTCAGAGTTGGTGTTAAGCTGCCCAACGGGTAGGGAAAACAAGTCGATCGGGAGCTGAAGAACGGGACTTGCGAAATCGAACGCCAGTTGAATTTCCAAGCAGGAGAAGCTCCTCCGACCATCCACGCTTTCGATTTTGAAGCAATGCTTTCTGGTGCAAAATTCACTGGACTTAGCCCTTGGAACCGTATGTTCGAGAGTGAATGGGCTCGAATGGCCCCTAAATTTGTGTCGTTCGAATATTGCATCCACACTTCCCCCCCTTCCACCATTAATTTCAAGTCCTTAGTGATATGGTAGTTTAGAAATATCTCTCCATCAAGACTCGCCCATGACCAAGTTGGAGCCCGATATTGACTTGACTCGAAGACTTGGATGCATTCTGGGGCTGCCACATCGACTGGGCGACGAGGTTGTTACGCCACAGCCCAGCCAAATACGGCCCCGAATCCCAGCGCTGCGCGAATTGCTTGGCGATCCAGCCAACAGCCACCAACTTGTCGCGCTCGTTGGTGAGAAGGCACTTCGAGTAGACTGAGACGATTTGTCGCCAACTACGGTCTCTCTCTGGTCCCAAAAATCTAGAGTTCCTGTCCTTCAGAGAAGCACCAAATCTGAAACCTCCTTCGGATTGGATCGTGGAAGCGCTACCTCACCACATTCCCAGAGTATATATTCGTCACCGAAGTGGAGATTTCTTGGAGACAAAACGCGTTCTTGGACCGCCCTTGAATTCGGAAAGTCAATTTCTTCTTTTCAAGGTTCTCCCCGGATCGACAGCACAGCCTCGAAAGAGAACGTTCATGATACCCCTGGGAAGTATATCATACGAAACAAGATTTCTCAGGGCCGAGAGAAAAAAGATAACAGGAGTCTGGTAAACTTACAGCCACACGCGAACAAGGGGAAATTGCTGTCTCAAGAAATCTTCCTTCGGCCCGAAACGCCGAAAATATCGTCGAGTCCGATCCGAACCTTGCATAATAATAATATATTTTTTATAATAGTTTATATGCCCTTAAAAATTCTCATTTATTAGACTAAAACTATTATTAGTTATTAAGACTTATTTCGAAATATAAAAGTCTAGAGTTTAAATTAAATCTTTAATATTAAGAACTCGCATTTACTTACTCTTAATTTTTATAATATTAAGTAATATAAAAGTAGTTATTTTTAATAATTTTAATAATTACTAAATTCGTTATATAACTAGTTTAATATTTAATTAATATTAAGATAAGCTTTAAATAAATTAGTCAAATCCATAATAATAATATAAATTTATATCTCGAAATAAAACTTAGTAAAATAGTATAATGGCTGGTATAAGGGCATGATCTACCAAGGACAGGATATCAGAAATAGGCACAAAACGAAGCTAAGCCAGAATTACTTGGACGGAATAATACTAAAGGTCAAGGCATCCTCCCTATTTTATTTCATAGCTTAGTATTTTCTAATATATAAGATTCTTTAAACTTTGAGCCTTTAACTATTATATTAATTCCGCTATTATATAATACTAAGCTTACTTGACTTGGCCTATAAAAGCAATATAATATTACCGGTAAAGGACCTGTATTTATTCTTAAAAAGCAAAAACAGAATACTGCTTTTAATATTTAATAACCTCCTTGAACTATAAAGAACTAGAGAGCTTAACTAGAAGTATAACGTCTATAATCTAGTTAACCTCGGAGCCTAACCCTTAACTAGAGCAGATAATATTCTCCTTCTAGTAATTAGTTTTTTACTAATATAAAAAAAAGGAAAATATTATTTTCTATAACCCGATTAATCTCGGAGCCTGATCCTTAACTAGAATAAATAATATTCCCTTAATACTAATAAGAGTAAAAGAACCGGCCCTCTTTCTTAGTATAAGAAGAATTAGTAATAGTTTACTAATTTAAAATAAGAAAAGATAATAGTCGGTTTTAGTCTACTAATTTAAAACTAAATAAGATAATAATTAGTTATAGTTTACTAATATTAAATAAGAAGAACTTACTTAGTACTTACTTTTATAGCTAATATTTCTTCTAAAGCTATTATAAATAGCCCGGGGCCAAGTACTACTATTATAGGTATATTAGATAAAAGGCTCTAGTATAATAAAATAAAGAAGCTAGACTTTAATATTATAAACCCATATTACCGGGAAAGCTATTATAATACTATTCTAGAAAAAGATATTAAAAAGTAGCTAGCTAACTTGAAACTTAAAATTAATATAAATATTCTAAAAATAGATAAGGCCTAGTAGAAATTACTTATACGAGATAACCTTATTAATAAATACTATCTTATAGCTAATAAATAAGCGGAATACTACTAGAAATTTCACTTATATATTAACTAACTTACTAAAAAAGTTAATAAGCTAGAGATAATTACTAATTAACTTTATATAAGGGAAAGACTAGTATAAGAAGAAGTAATAAAGTAAAGATCTAAATAGGCAGATATTTAGGAATATTATAGATTTATATTAGAAGAACTATTTAGGGGCTAATACTAAGGCTTTCTCCCGCTTTTAGTCTATAGTAATTAATTATAGCTTATTAGAATTAAGGATCTTACCCTATTTATAAATAAAAATAATTACTAGATTAATAATTAGATATTTAATATAAGAAATAAACTAATATAGAACTTCTCTGAATTTAATAATAAATTACTAAAAATTACTTATATAATATAACTAGTTACTAGAAATACCCGTAACTTTATTTATAATTAACTAGAACCTGGATTAGTTAGATAGATCTTAATTACTAAATAGATCTTTAAGATTTTCTAGTAAGCTTATAATAAAAGTAAAGAGATAAAGTACTAGGAAATAAAAGAGGTATACTAGTACCTGAAATAAAGAAATAAGCTATTTCCGGTATTCTAGGTAAAGTTTATTTACTTAATAATAAAACTAGGAAAGTTACCGGATAACTAATATAATAACTTAATAGATAAAATAAATCTCGAGCTACTTAAGAGTTTAGGTAATAAGAAGTTTAATATTTCTAGGGACCTTATTAAATAGTATATAAAATAAGAGAATAGGCTTCTTTTAATTAAAATTTAGTAATTCCAGGAGAAATAACTAGTAGAAATTACTTACTATTAAATACTATTTCGGGCTAGAAAGCCTGCCGGAATTTAAGAAGCTATAGTAATCCTATATCTAATAAATTAATCTTAGTAACTAGTATTTCTATAGCTAAAGAAGGCAGTCCGTCGAGAATTTAAGAAAAGACTAGACTAGCTAAAGAGTCTTTATTATTATAGCTATAGAAAGCCTAGATATATAAAAAGTACCTATTCTAACTTTAATAAGATTATACTTATTAAAGAGAATTATTTAGAAAGAGCTAATAATTCAGGAATAAATAATAAGAATACTAATTCTTATCTATTATCTAATAAGAAATATAATATTAATAAGTTAGGAAAAGTCTAGCTCTAGGTATAGAGATAGCTCTTCTAAAATAAGAACTTTACTAAGAACCTATAAATCTTACTTAGCTAATTAGTAGAAACTAGTTCCTTATTAATTATTAAATATACTAGAAAGGCAAAACCATAACTTTTTAGTACTTAGTAAATACTAGAGTAAATATATATACTCTAATTAACTAAAAATATATTTATTCCTTAATAAAAGTACTATAAATACTCTTATATAAACTCAAAACCCCTATTCTCTTATAAGATTTTAATAAATAACCTAGTAAAGCTATTTAATATCTAGCTACTATAGATCTAGCTATTAATTAGTACTTCTAAATTTAATAATAC